AAAGAAGAAAAACACTCAGTACTGAGAAAATGAAGCGTATCCAGTTTTACTAACTTCTGAGCAGAGCACAGTCTAAACTATTTTTCAGTTATACAATAAGTATTATTTCTTATTTTGCCATTTACTCTGCAGCTTCAATACTGTTTTGCACAGCCATACTCTATTGGCTCTTTTGAGTATTTATTATAGTAGGTATTGGCATGTTTTCTCTCCAAACATTCCAGCCATTACACCACCTACAGAAAGAGAGAGGAAGAGACGACAATCAAGTCATGAACACACAATAGAATCAGTTTTGATAAATACAATATTCAAAAATGCATGGTATAATGGATAGAATTATATTTCGAGAATCAGAGGCCATTGTGTAAATGACTGTAAATATAGTGTCAACTCTAGTCATCTTTATCCCACACAGAAGTGAATACGTCTTGGACAGAGAAGAACATGTCATCAAACAGAAGTGCACAAAGGAAAGGAGATGGATCGGACACACGCTCTGGAGATCATAGAGTGATATCACTTGCAAGGTTATCACCAATTGGTGTCTGCATGAACCGTGGTCAGTTGGATGACTGTTGTTGAGGTAAGAAATATCTCGTATGCAGGTGTGTGTGTGTTTGGAGGAGATGAGAACATATGGGCAATCGAGCTGCCAGCTGAGGAGGATATTGCAATTCATTTACTGATTTAGACACTTCGTGAGTTCTTTTCGGATACTGGTCTCTTCACACAAAACCATGCTGAATATAGTATGATTGAGGTTGCACACCTTCCTGCCCACACCAGCATAATTTCTAATGCCGTCAGTCAAACGAAATATTTCTCTAGAAATCGACAAGATACTAGACGACTGACAGAGACTGGAAGAGATACTGATGCCGAGACAGGAGATATTCGATTGACTCCTTTTCACCGTGCTGTCAATAATAAAACAAGAAGTCTGCTAGAGTCTTGTTCATAGCTGAGACTGAAATCAACAAACTATATGGCATTAGGATGGATTTGGTTATAGACCATTTTGAGGGGGACTATGTGTGAACTTCAGTTTAGAATCTATTCATATGTGAAGAATGCAATGCAGAAGCTAATGAGATGGAGGTCGTCAGATCATCGGTACAATCAGCGAAATTAACCTCGGGAGAATACGGATGATCATGCATAAGGGAATTATAAATTCAGAATGTACAGAGCTTCGAGGTCTATCAGTTTCTGTTAGCAACACATTTGAGCATTGTTGATATAAAGCTATAATTTATATTCTACGGAACTTGCTGAGCTCTGCAGGAGCAAGTGAATTCATAAACACACGTCATAAATAATTCTACTCCTACTGCTATTGTTATTATAGTTATTATTCTCAACTATTGCATAAACTTGTTCACAGGAGTTACATGAGGTAGGAAGCCATTGCATTTGACACCACAAGTACGATACCGTACACACAAGACAACAGCGACACAAAAGGCTTTCAGTTTTCTAACGGAGATAAGGCTATTTCGAAAATGTACGTAGCACTCTCGATAAATAGGAGAGCATATATATAGTAGAATTATAAAGTAATGTAGATGCAATTTGCATTATATGGTTTCAGTAAATATATAATTCGCATACAAAAGAAGACTCACAGAGAACCATTACGAGTTCCTCCTCCTTTTACTAACTCATAATCGTTTGCTGTCTTCATGTCAACTCTCCATGTACAGTCACTACCTTTAACTATAACTTCGTATTCATCATTCAAAGTAAATTTGAGCGCCCCGAATACTATAGCCTGTTTACCTTGAAATAAAATAAACAAAGAGACATTTTAGTGGTTCACAGGAAATGTTTGAATTCTTCACAGTTAGACTTACTTCGTGACTAACGTGAAATAATAATGATCTAATGATCAGTGGAGTTTCGAAGTTCAGCTTGTAGAGATCAGGAATGAGAATATTTATGTCATATATTCATATCTCGTAGAAATATAGAATTATGTGTCGCCTACAATCGTAGCCGACTTTATGTCTGTAGTAGTCTGTCAGTCTATAGCTATCCCGTGAGTATCTATACATCATGCAAAGTAAACGATACCACTGGAAAATGGCATTCTTATCTCCAAGTTTACAGTAGTGAGATATGACTTAATAGTGAGGATTAATCATGATTATTGACCGACAAACTATTTTGGAGTGGATCAATACAGAAATCATCCAGTGATATGGAACCTACGACTTTCAAGTGACGAAGCAGGCTCATATACTCTTCAGCCACCATGACAACATATAATAAATCATCAATTCTAACTCATTTTTCAATTCATAAAAGATGATGTGATTGCCAGGCAATATCACCAGTGAGAATCTGCCGTCATGTTGAATTTGGTGAACACCAATGGTCAAGACTTCGCACTAGGACTTCAGACAGAAATTCACAACTGAAATATGTTGAACATCAAAGTCAAAACCAATCAAGTCACCTCATGCCTACTCCTGAGAATTCATATAACTTAAGCAATCCCACTCCTGTCAGAGTTATTCAGTTCCTGAGAAAATGTGACTTTGCTACACTTTTTCTTGTTTAGATTAGCCATACTTCACTAACTAACTTACTAACTTACATAACGACTCATTTACACATTATGTGTAAGTCACTGTGTGACATTTGTTTCTTCAATGAATCAAAGCAATAAGTATGGCCATGGTTGATCACAATTAGAAGAGAATATGGAAGCAGCAAGGAGTAATGAACAGCCAGCCGTTTCATCGTATTTTGAGGCCGATCATCAGTTCGCACTCAGAGGAATTCGAACCTAGGTTAGAGTAAGTTGGAATTCATGGTAGATTCAGTCGAGTCACATTGGATAGATGCTCTATACGCTAGCTTGCCAGGTAACAGAATTGTATTGATTTCGAGCCACTGAATTCGAAACTGAGCTGTCAAAACAGATGCCAATTAATTCTCCCTGTATTTCAGCAGCTCTCCAGAATCGTGTCGATCCGTGGTGCCACTAACTAACTCTTCAGAATCATAGAATTTCACAATCGAATGATCTGTATATTTCTACGTAAATATGTGCTTGTACAGCTTGTGAGCATGAAATAATCCTTGCTGAGCCTCGTTTTTTCACCACCTCAGTGTCCTGATAGTCAGTATTTTCTAGGACATACTGACAATATCCAGGTCAACAAGTTACTGACGAAATAACACAGTCTCAATTTATCATATTCCGTTTACAGGATATTTCGTATTCAAAGAATCAGTGCTCAGGCATTTGCAACAATGCAGTGAATTCGGTTTCATATCCTTTAGAAAGCTTACTCATGTTGAAATAGGAAATAAGTTCGGTTGCTCTCAGTTCATACAAAAGACTAAGAGCTGAACGCATGGTCAATGTGCTTGACAACACATTTAAGCAGATATAGTTAAAGTATCGTAGTTTGAGAGTAAGCCAGTTAGTTTGTCGTTTATATGTGAATTGATAAAGAGTAGTATATCCCTAATTCAACTGTGTGAGGTGATCATGAAGCAAAATGTATCATCGATGACACTGCGTGAACGGATAAAAGAGGGTTCGGAATACATTGTGACTGACGTTGAAAGAAAGCTATTCGTTACTTTCACGTTGGAAACTGGCGTATTGCAAACACCGTTATAATTTTGATGCTCTCTAGTTTTAAGAGTGGAAGATACACTTTGAACAACACATCTCCAAATCATCCTGTTAGATGCAATCCTCTTCGAACAGTCTCCCCGATTGTCCATAATCTCCACCTCCTGAGCTCACCCATCTCACTCATTTCAACTGCTGACACATACATGAATCTCTAATTCACAACAAGCATCCACAACATGTGGCAGATCAAACTCCGTTTCCTTCCGCATATTTTTTAAACAATAGGTTATTCGTTGGTTACTTCTCACAATTCCGTTTTCCAATCAGACGTGTTGACTATCTGATGTTTGATGAGGTGCTAGGCAAGGCAGCTGGTGAAAATGGTCTGCAGCTAGTAGTTCGAAGTACTTCTCAATACGCGTGCGCCAAGTTTATGACTCATACAGAAGAAGAGACTGACTGACTGACCTACGTGAACTACGTGACAAACACTTGGACGCAGTCTGAGGCTCTTCACTAGTATGCACACATCATTCCATCAGGAATGAGACCAGAAGATTCCGGATGACAAGATGAACTCAGTCACTATTCATTTCTAAGAACAGAATCCGTTTGCCGATAAATTCCTAATTCTGCTAACCGGCAATATATAGCACCACTGCTCTTCGATCTTATCATCGGTGAGGATGTGTTCATACAGTGGTTAGAAATTATCACTGGAATTTAAGATAATTTCATCTTGCACTGTGTCAGTCAGTCATCACTGTAAAGTATCATTATTTCCTAAGAGTGATTTATCGAGAAGAGGGATAAGCGGTGAAACAATAAATTAATTTAATCATTTACACACATAGAATAAATTTGAATTACCTGATTTATCAAATTCTATGACATACGGAAAATCAAGTGATTCAATCTCTCCAAAAATGACTATGCACACACTGATGAATATGATGAGGTTCAATTTCGTCATCTGAAACAGCATTTTCCTGAAAAAAGACAATAAAAGCGAAATACAATCACATTCAATTTGATGTAATTTGAAATGAATAACAGTGAGTGACTTTTACAGTTACTTCGGAACATACAGAATCGAAAGCACATCTTACAGTTTCATCTTCTCTAGGGTCTCCTGAAATGTGACCACCTCTCATCATCTCCAGACCACACCATCTCCCACATTTCATCATCAGACCCAAGCACATCTCGTCGTTTCCATTTCAGCTGGCAATCGAACAGTGGTCTGATGCGCAAGAGACGGCATCAATAATTATAAATGCATGAATAGCACTCATGATAACAATTTGTTGAACATTCTTCAGGCTACGTGGCACTATGAATAGAAGTATGCGAATAACTTGTCGGATGCTGACCAACTTGACTGTTTAGTGAATGAAATTTACAAGTCAATTCTACACAGTCTGATGAGAGGAAATTTGACGACAGTTCGATTTGGAAGCGAAATTATTCACAGTGTAATATGTGATCTACTAGGTTCGCTAAATAGTGATCGAAATGGCAACCTTATGTGCATCACTCTGTATACTACCGCCTGATTAAGATACACACATGGATCACCAAGTAGTTCTAACACACAGAAGCCGTTACTCTCATTTGGACCTTAAATCATCAGCGGTGAACCTGGTCCTACTCGACTAAGGCAGACCTGATAATTCAAACATTCCAGTTTCTAACTTGTTTGGCTGTTTCAGTTCAGTCAAACACTGTATAAAACTGACCATCTTCGCTCCAAATGAGCTAAACACTTATCTGGAGTTCAAGTCCCTTCGATCATGCTGGCCAGTGAGCCAGCCATATCAATAAATAAGCAGTATGATAACACCATGCACTCGTGGATGCCCATACAATCCTATTTCTGCAGAAGATGCATGTAATAGTAGCAAGATGTAACTCACATGCATGGAAGGAAGGTCAGAAATATCTAACGCTAGGCACAATGTTACAAACACCGTTAAACCAGTGGTGACGAAGAAGGAGGATTTTCACATACAACTGCAAACAGTGATGTAAGACATCCCAAATGGTGAGATCAAAATTGCCACTGGTGATATGAATGCTAAACTGGTAGCCACAAATACAAGAAGAGAACTTAACAGAGGTCGGAAGACTTTTACTCAGCGTAATGAATGAGAATGGGGAGTTATTCACAGACTTCTGCGCTTTCAATGATGTGATGATCGGAGGCGGTGTGTACAAGCAAAGAAACACCAGTTTCTTGGTGTATAGTATAATGCTTATTAGTATAGTATAGTATAGTTTCGCCTGATGGACAATTCACAAACCAGATAGATTTCATCACAATGCTGCCCGAGTAAGTGGAGATTCATATCGCTGGATAAAAGTCGAGAATGGGAGTTCACATTTAAATTGGCAAATGAACAGGGAGAGGTGACTACGATGCTAGACTGTAAAATAACATGAATAGAGAAAGATAAACTGCACACTAGCCTTTATAAAAATAATCCAACGCATTCCAATAGATATTTCGACCTTTATTTATCTCATCCGTTGTCTGCCTGTGGAGGCTGCTCTTGTTGAGTGTCTTACAAACCGTGCACTAGCACTAGGTAGTACAATAAACGACCTATATGACGAAACTAAACAGATAGAAGAAGCGTTGGTATCAAATAAGTATCCCATAAAATTCTTTAGAGAGATCAGAAGAGGTCGAAAGCAAAATAAAAATATTTGTGAAACTAGTAGTGATAAGATAAATAAGAGAGAATATAAGCCATCTACTGTTGTACCATATAAGGAGAGAGCGTAGGAGACCCTACGTAGTAGTATTCCTAATAAAGCCGGAATAAGAGTGGCATTCAAACCTTCAAACTCACTCACGGACAAGCTGTGTATGTTGAAGGACCCTTCCGGTTGACCCAGTTAGACAACATAATATAGTTTACAAAATATCTTTCAATGACTGTGACACAGGTCAAAATAGTAGATCGGAGCTAGTCAGATTGTTGTAACATAAGAATTTAGCTAAGGTAAGAATGGTTGACACCTAGAAGAAAAGTAACTTAGGAAAAAGCTCAGCAATTGCACAGCAGGTATGCATTAAATCACAACTGCACCATAGGCTGGGAGAGGATCAAAATTCTAAAAGCGGAGAGAGAAGTTGATTACTGAACCATTGTTCATCAAGTCTACACTCAACATGTGT